GGCGGAGGAGGAGGAGGAGAGGAGGGAGGAGGAGGAGGAGGAGGAGGAGGAGGAGGAGGAGGAGGAGGAGGAGGCGGAGGAGAGGAGGAGGAGGAGGAGGAGGCGGAGGAGGAGGAGAGAGCGCGAGAGAGCGCGAGAGAGAGAGCGAGCGCGACGGCGGCGGCCGCGGGGGAGAGGGCAGCGGGCACGCAGCCCGGCGCGCGCTATCGTGGCGCGGGGCGGCGGCGGGCTCCGAGAGAACGGCGCGCGGGAGAGCGCGCCCGGGCCGCGGCGCGGGCCGCCGGGACGGCCGCAACCCGTGGCGGGCTCCGGGCAAAGCTTCCGTCCCAGACCTCCTCGAGTCATGAAAAAATCACGACGGGAGGTTTTTCCCTATTTTCGGCCTCCGGGGGCCCTTACCGGGCCTCGGGACCGTCAAAAAACGACTCGGGATGAGAAACCGGACCCGGGGAATGGGTCTGGACCTCTGGGGGTCGCGTCATGAAAAAATCATGACGTCGGGGGTCTGGGGTGGGGCCTGTCCCCCCCTCAGGGGGATCTCCGACGAGAGATAAAAGATACCCCCAAAATGCCCCAACAAAAAGGTCGAAAGCTACCCCCAAGAAGAGTCCCCAGACTGTTTTTGGACTATTCTTTGATTCTGTTCGGGGTACTGTTTATATTTTTCGTCGAGGATCCCCCTGTAGGGGGACAGGCCCGACTTAAGGCAAACCCTGCATCCCCCAAACACGCTATCCTTTGGGCGCGCATCTCGTACGTCCGCCGGCGTCCGCCGGCGTCCGCTGGAGGAGCCACGCTCGCTCTGCTTCCGCCGGCCGCCAGCCTCTGCCGAGAAAAAGAGGGGACCACATGCGACCCCTGCCCCCCACGATTTCTGAGGGGGCAGGGGTAGGGTTCACTTCGCTCGGGACATGCGAACCCTACCCCTACCCCCCACGATTTCTGAGGGGGCAGGGGTAGGGTTCGCCTGTGGCCCCCTAGAAAAAGAGAGGTGCCAACCTCGTCGATGCCTCGAGGGTGGGGCCCTTTCTGACGCGACCCGCGTGTACTGATCCAGCATCCGGACGCGCACCGTCGGGGCGACCTTGGAGAAGGCAGCCCACTATTGTGCGGGCCGGGCAGCTTCCGGAGCAGGGGAGCGGGAGGCGGCGAATACCCCAGCGGCGCCGTTCAAAAGGTGCGGCCGACCGATGAGGCGTGAGACAGGAGGGATGAGAAGCAGAACTACTACACTCAGGTCGGGCATGCCCTCCTACAGGCGGACTGTGGGCGAAAAATAAAATTACACCAAAGAAGAACCAAATATGTGGATGGCAAATAGGATGGTTTTCGCTGAGGAGATCGACCGGGAACCCGGGAGCCCGGAAACCCAGAACCCACCGAAATCGGCCCGGAACCAATAACTGGGAACCCGGGAACCCGGAACCGGAAACCCGGGAACCCAGCCTGCTACCAAAATCGGCGGGAAACTTTCGCCAAATCTTTCAGCTTCCGCTAGGACCCCTTCCGTGCAAGCACTGATTGGGGGAAATAATTCAGAAATAACAGGAAGATCGTCCCCTGACTATTTCTTTGACTGTGTTTGAAGATTCCTCCTGCAGAGATTCCTCCTGTAGAGATTCCTCCTTGTAGATGGACTATTTTTGAGGATTCCTCCTGTAGAAGATTCCTCTTGGATTATTTTTGAAAAACTCCTCCTGTAGAGAGGGGCGTGCCCGACTGAATACGCTGCACTCGGAGGCTCCGTCGAGAGGCAACGGCGGCCCTCCCGGGCGTTCTCCGTGTGTCCCCCCCCCCCCGACCGAGGCCTCCACGGAGAGGCTCCTCGTCGCGACGCGACGGCTGGCTATCCGCTTCGACGAGCGGGTCAAGAGGGGCCCCAGCATTGGGTCAGGCGTGTCCCCCTACAGGCAGATTTTGGGCGGAAAAACAATACCCCCAGAATGCCCCCAAACATACTCAACAAGGGTATTTTTAAAAAAACGCCCCCAGACTATTTCCGGACTATTTTGGAATATTCCTCCTGTATAGGGACGCGCCCGACTTAACCCTAGACGAAGACAACAAACACAACTAATCCTAAACTCGTGGCGCTCCGCGCGGATTTCCTGGATTCGCGCCAAGGCTTCCTCCCTGGCGCGCTTGGATTCGCGCCAGGGGCGGCGCGGAAGGCGCCGCCGGGGGGGGGCCCAGCGCGGATCTCCAAGGGATCCGCGCGGAGCGACAAAAGTTTATGTTTACGTGTGGTTGTTTCTTCCTCGAGACCCGTACAGTCATCGGCCTGACCCAAGGAAGGATAAACAAGGAACGGAGCCCCTTGCTTCCAAGGATTAACGCATAGGGAACGATGAACAAATAATACATAACGCATAGGGAACGATCAATAACGCATGCGAGCCTAAGGAACGACCGAGCCCCTTTCGAGAAGTAAGCGTTCCTTATTCAAGCCGCTCACTGTAACTCACTACCTACCAAGCCACCCCAACCTAACCCGAAGACGCGAACTTCGGGTTGGGGGGGAGGTACGGGGTACGGGTTCCACACGTGCTTCTTCAATGTTCGC